AGAAACAACAAGTGTCAATAGAAAATTTAAGTACAACTCTTAAGGTTGCTGATCCATTAACCAAGGGATTGCCTATAAAGACATATGAGGAACATGTTATTAGAATGGGTCTTTTGAGCAATCCATGATTTAATGAGTTATGATTATGTAATTGACACTTAATTAATTTAATGAAATGTTTCTGTTTTCCTGTTTCCAATTATGTGTGCACATATTATATTTGGATTTAACAGGGTTTGTCCTAACAAGACAAAATTAAAGGGGCTATTATGGATTAGAATAGTAAGGGTTATTAGTGGCGTGATACATAGAAGGGAATATGATGAATGAATCATATAACCGCTATGATTCACATTAATAACTCAAACTAGTTCTAGTATTAAAGTACTCTATTTACCTATTATGGTAATCACCTTAATTTTCTTTTAAAATCGTGATCACGTGTCAAATGTTTTGTATGAAGAACCCACCGAGTCAAATATTTTCTTAAACTTATTTTTCTTAATCGATTCAGTGGACCAAGTGGGAGAATGTTAGTTTACGTTTTTTAACGTTTTAATTTTTGGTCCACTAATCTTTATTTTAATTAATTAAATTGTGGGTAATTCAAATCATGGTATTAAGGTGATTTTATGGTAATTGATTTGTAACGTTGAAGGCAATAAAAGACCATGATGGGTGGGATTTGTCTTCTGCCGTTACAAATCAATCGTGGCCCTCTTCTCTCGTCTATAAAAGAAATCCACAGCTCTTCTCCTCAACCATCAGACGCAATTGAGAATTCCATCACTTACAGAATACTAGTGAGTTGTGATATTAGAGAGATAGAGAGAGAAGGTGTGTTACGAATAAAGTTCTCAAGGAGATTCGAAGGAGGCCTGACTAGGCTCGGCTTGTAGATTGCTATCGTTCATCGTCTCTATCGGAATCCATGGCGAACGGTATGTCGATAATCCCAATTATATGAATATGTTCTTAAGTTGAATTTGATTTCAAGATTCTGTGATTAAAGTTTTCCGCATAAATTAAATAAAAGTCTTTCAAAGGATGTAGCTAATGGCCCAAGTATTAATTACTGACAATTAACTTAAGGGTTGTAACAGTTAAGTTGTGGAAACAGTATTCAGTTACAACTATAATTCTTGTGTTAACACAGTTATAAATCTACTAAAAGCAGAATAAATGAACACAAGAAATTAATGTGGTTCAGACACAAATGTGCCCTACATCCACGTGGACCTGCAAACACGATTTCACTAGTTCAGATTTATAATGTACATTAAAAGGACTTATTAAAAACAATAAAGACTCCCTCTTTAATTTTTACGCCGTTCTTGTACACAACTCGGGCTCCGTGTCTCTCTCTACAGCAGCTCCACTCCGGCTGATCTCCCTTGAGATCTATACAGCAAATCTGTATATGTTGGCACAGTGCAACGATGGCACAGTCCTGCTCTGCAGAACGCCTTGGCAAAACTTCGATGCTATGAAGTGGTTTTTCTCCCAAATAATGCCCACGGTTCTTGTATGTCTTCGAGGCTTATATAGCCACGAAAATAAGCCCTAAGACCTAACTTGAACCCCAAGAAATCTATTTAACTAGGTAATAGAATGCTAGTTGATTTCTACTTCTATTCTAGATAAGTACAAAAGATACCTAACTAGAATACAATACATGGAAATAAATCTAAGTTCTAATAGAAGTATTATAAGAATAGGACTCTAATAAATTCCAAAATAAATATGGAAAATAAATCTTTGCCAATCTTTTAATTCCAAAACTTGGCGGATTTCCTCGATCTTCAAAAGCCGGAAATATGGCGCCAACATATATATACATACATATATATATATATATATATATAAATATGTGTATAAAGATAAAGGACAATCTTGTACCATGGTTACATTAGCTCAGAAATGGAGCAAAACGAGGTTGACAAAAAAAAAAAAAAACACAATGGCAACAAAGCGACGCCCCACCGAAGGAAGGCCAATCAAACACAAACCAATTACCAAAAAAGCCCTTAGAATGCTTGCAGAGAACTGGATTGGCGATATCAACCATGCGATGGTGAAGTCGACGGGGACCAACGAGAGATTTATGGAGCGAAGACAAAGCCTACCACAACAAAATTTGCACGGAAATTCAGGGATTTTGAGGCCTCTAGAAACGAGCATGTGGCTAAAATCTTGATTCTTCTCCTCTTCTATTTTTTATTTTATTTTTTAGATTGAAAATAAAATAGGGGATGATTCCAATCATTTAATTGGGTTTTGCTAGAAAACTTTAAAACTGAAATGGGGTTTGGTCTAGGTTTTTGAAAAGAAAAAAAAGTGAGCTGAAGCTCGCAATTTCTATGTTGATAATTTGGGATTTGATGCATAAGAGAGTATAAAGGAGAGGAGAGGGGGAGAGAGGAGAGAACCTCTGTGAATAGAAAAAAGAAAAAAAAAATAAAAAAAAAAAAAGAAGGCGAGAAGAAAATGAAGACAAAGAAAGAGGAGAGAGACCAAAATTATATTGGTGGGCAAAGAAGTAATTGCACATAAAAATTGACGGTGTTAGTTTTGTTAATGTTGACCATTAAATACAGGGGCTATTTTGTTAGGTTTTGTAGTTTATGAGAGTATTTGTGACACACCATATAATTAAGGAGTGCAAATTGTACTTTCCCCTAAAATTTATTTATGATATTTAAATTATAGTAACAATATCAACCACAAATGATTATTTGAACTTAATTGTTATAAAATGAAATTGATTGTTAAAGAATTGGTGCACTTAATAAACCAAACTGTTAGAGAAAAATTACAAGAAATAAACGTATAAATATAATCAGAGACAGTTGACAAATAAGAAAATGATGTTGAAAGAATTTTACATGGTTTTGTTTAAATTTTGAACTTTTACAAATTAGAAAAAAAACAATATATAATAATTATAAAAATAATATTAGGGTTGCTTAGAGTTAACTTTTTTTTAAATATTATTTTATATAGGGAAGTCTTAAATCCTGACTAAAATTTATAGAATCAATCACATAATTCATAACAAATTTCTCTAAAATCCTCCAAAATCCTTTTTTGTCTTCGTTTTCTTTTTTTTTTTTTTTTAGGAAAAGACGTATTATCAAGCGATCATATCGCTAAATTTGAAGGCAGATGATACATGGTAACTTAGCAAGAGAATTGGCTAAACAAACGTTTTATAAAAATGCCTGAACAATTCGACATACCCATCGATCTATCTTCGACCGATGTTCCTCCAATGTGTCACTACACAAAAGGTCAAGGGTCGGTTGAAGATATTAAGCAAGACTCTGCCGCCGGCAACAAATTGCAAAGCAACCACCACCCGTCCAATAGCAGCTGCTGCTCTGTCAAGCCAGCATTTTTCTGTACCTCTAACTCATTAGTTAGATGTTCAGGTGGCGGTATACACCACCACCTGCAATGGCCGTCGGCCGCCGTTTAACAATTTTGCAGCCCTGAGTACTCTCAGGACCCGCCAGGTGACGGTGTCCACCGCCTCCTGCAACAGCCGGCAACACATGGGGGCAAGCCCAAGAACCGGCCGTTTAACAATTTCGCCGCCGAGTAGGAACTACAGACCACCAGGGCCTGGGGTGGTGCTGGAATGCCGGGGGGAGAGAGCCTGCCGCCGTATCTTCAACCTTCCGTCACCTTAATGCCCCTGCTTAGGTCACAGGTTCTCGCTACTGAACCCGGCGACAGATAATGCTGAAAATTTTGTATATGAATGAGATTAGTTTTGGTTCGTTTTTCGATGTGGGATTACCATTATATTTTTTTAATTAATTGTGATTATGAATAATCCTCCAATACGGGAGTTTCTATGCAGTTGCAATATTATTTGAAATAATACGTCGTACTCAGCCCATTTTGAAATAACTAAGAGTCCAATATTAATATATTAGTATTAAAATATGGATAGATTAACATCAAATATATTTTATATGAAAATCCTGATCCACTACAACTATTATTATTATTATTATTATTATTATTATTATTATTATTATTATTATTATTATTATTATATTTTGCCAACCTATTTTCTAGAATTTTTCTTTCCTCATTTATTTAATGATCAATTTTATATTATGACTATTAAGTTTTTACAGTTTTTTCTTTTTGAATGAGTTTGTATTATTTAATTTGTATAAATATTGATGCTATTACTGATATCACAAATAAATTTTATTATAACTTTTAGATATAAATACCGAATGGTCAAGTAAATTCAAACATTAATAATATGCAAATGCGTGTTGTTAAAAATCCATTTTCATTTGGTATTATAAATTGAAGTCATGTGAGAGACACATGCCATTTTCCATTCAACTTAACTGCAAAAATAAACGGCTTGACCCTATCTTCCTGCTATGGATGGGTGTAACTAATCTGTACTTGCAAGACGGCATTTTTATTTAAATTAATTATTTTGAAAATTAATTAAAAAAAAAGTTTGTACATTGTTTGTTGAGACAGTGTTTCGGACAAATTAAAGTTGTAATTAAACATGATCAATTAATGAAAACAACATAAGTGGGAGTGGCTTCCTGAGCTATATTTGTGCCAAAAAATAGCATAATTAAGGACTAATATTGTAACTCCAAAATGGTTCGAAACAATTTTGAAAAAGTGGGTAAAATATGGGGACAAAAAATGTAATTTTCTGAAATTTTTACATTCCAATTTTCTTGGAACAAAAATTAGAATCCATTTTTACTTCTGAAAAAAAAAAATTATTTTTTCTTTTGAAAAAGTCATTTCCATCCATTTTGACTCCGATTTCCACACTTTTATAGCCAATTTATGAGGAAAACCCTAACAAGTTTCTGAAGCTTTCAACACAGCAATTTAATAAGATCCTACCCAAATGATTAGAATTCGTATTCCATTCATCAATAAGTTAAACGTGCGATAATTCCAGAACCACGCCGCCAATTACAAGAGGTAAATTAAATAAAACCATGGTTGTGGAACAAGATGAATCAGTTCACCTTCCACTCGAAATGATAGAAATCATCGTGCCAAAATTACCAGTTAAATCTCTTCTTCGATTCAAATCAGTTTCCAAGTCATGGAATACTATGATCTCCGATCCCGCGTTCGTCAAACATCATCTCCGGATATCGAAACATTCGAACCCACATAATCTTTTCATGCAAAAGCATCCAAACTCTAAAGGGTTTTTTTCTTTAGTTAAATTCGAAGGCCGGAAGTTCCGAACCGTAAAATTACTAGAATGCCCCTATGCCTGTGTTAAGTTCTTGGCCTTCTGCGACGGCGTGCTACTTTTATCCGACATCTCTTACAAGAAATTAACGTTGTGGAATCCATCCACTCGACAAACCGCAAACTTTGAGTTCCCATATGCGCATTGTTGTTATCCAATGAGCTACGGGCTTTTTCACGATCGAACCGTTGGTGATTTCAAGGTAGTTGTTATATGTAGGGACCACTGCGCAATTTATTCGTGCAAGGACAAAGCGTGGACGAGGAAGCGACGGATTCAAGATATTGGTCTAGTACAGATTGGTTCCGGAGTTTGTGTCGACGGGGTTGTCTATTGGGTTAATCGTTGGAGTAGTGACGGAACGCATATTTTATATTTCGATACAAAAGATGACGACGAGTTGAAGGTTTTGCGGAAACCGGAAAATGTTAACTTAACGGGCAAAATGATCGACTTGATTTGCTTGAGAGACAACTTGTGCATGTGTTGCATTGGTAGAGGCGTGACGAATGTTCAAATCTGGATAAAGGAAAAGGGCTCTGGCAATAGTACTTGGAAGGAGTTGATGACTATTGAGAATGTGCAGACGCGGGCTTCTTGTTTCGAGCCACTACTGCATTTTGTCGGGAATAAGATTTTAATTGTATGGAAAGATTCAAAGTTAGTCGTCTACAACCCTTCTGAGAAGACGTTTGAAGAAGTTGACGATAGTGTGCTTTCCGGACGCGGATTTTTTCCGTTTACGGAGAGTCTTTTCTTCCCCAATCAAAATAATTAAAGTTTTTTTTTCTTTTTTTCTTTTATTTTCGAAAATTAGTTTGTAGTGGATTTAAGGGTCAATTTGTGTTTCTGAATCGAAAGTGGATTTATGAATGTGAACACTGAACACAAACCAGAGCAACCAAACTGACCCGTGCCCAAATTAAAACTAATATCAAATATAGGACCTAATTGCAATATTTGAAAACTTGCATTAAAACCCTTCGGCTTCTACCTTCAACCCTTAAATTAAACCTAAATCTGCAATGGCCAAAACCTAAATTCCAAACTCCGAAACCATGGCCGACAATACATCATATCTTCCACCGGAAATCATTGAAAGCATCCTGTCTAGATTACCGGCTAAATCTCTCCTTAGATTCAAATCAGTTTCGAAATCATGGAATACGATGATCGCCGATCCTGTATTCGTCCAAAATCATATCCGACAATCCAAACACTCAAACTCCGACAACCTTTTTCTATGTCCCAACACGTATCCTATTCCCGTGGTTAAATTGGGAGATAAAAAAATCCAAACTTTACAAAGAATAGAATCCCGCTATGCCAGGTGGCATGAATTATGCTTTTGCGATGGCGTGATTCTCTTAACCGACGGCACATACATGAGGTTTGCGTTGTGGAATCCATCCACCCGAACGTCGAAAAACCTTTGGTACAAGTACAGCTGTCCGGAAGCAGCTTTCGGGCTTTGCCGCGATCCAGCCACCGACGATTTTAAGGTTGTTATTGCTGATTCGAACTACTACTCGGTTTATTCTTGTAAGAACAAATCCTGGATCATGTTGAAAAAAAAATACGATGTTAAATACACCGGTTTAGGTGTAAACCTAAGTTATAATAACATCGGAGTCTGTGTTGATGGGGCTAGCTATTGGGTTTGGGGTAACGACAACGCCACACAAATAGAATTAGTGTATTTTGATCCGAGAGATGACGAGTTCAAGATTTTGCACATGCCGGAAAATATTGCCGATGCCAACCAAAAATTTACGTACGCGGTCGAATTGAAGGGATGCTTGTGCTTGTATTACAATGGTATGGACGAGTCCAGGATTCAAATTTGGACAAAGGAAAAGGGCATCGATGGTCATTCTTGGAAGGTGTTGATAACTGTTGAAAATGTGGGGATGTCAATTTGGGCTTTTCAGCCATTATGTTTCGTCGGAGATAAGATTGTAGTTTGGAAAAGAGGTCTTCTTCGTCGTGGATTACTAATCTACATCCCTTCTGAGAAGAGGTTTGAAGAATTTGAAAAGGGCACTGTTGGGATTTTTGACTATCCAATTCCGTATATAGATAGCATTTTCTTCCCCAGTGAGAAACCGAGACCTAAGATGCAGAGGAAGAGAAAGTTTTTGCAATAGGTTGATTAATAACGTTTTGGTCATAATTACTAGTAATTCATGTTCGTTTTGCTTATTGATCTATGTTGCTTAATCAGGTCGTAACACGTGGATTAATAGCTTTTTGAAGCCGCGTGTTATTTTGATTTTGATCTTTCCTATAGTAATAGCTAACAAGTGTTTATGAATTTTGTTTCTAAAGTAAGCGAGCGTTTGGTTATATGCATGCACGAATTCTTGGTTTGCTTTGCTCGAATAGATACGTAGGATCTAAATTCAGTGTTAAAGATATATTTTAATTTTCCTATGCAGTCTCTTTCAGTTTACACCCCATGTGTATGTGTGCTTAATAGATTAGTTATTTATGTAGATCTACGGATAAAAACTACATGGCGTATTTTACCAGGTGTCGGATCTCATAAGCTGCCTCTTTCTGTGCACTCGTTTTTGTTTCGTTTAATGCTTTTGGTTGTAATTGTGATTCATGTTTGTTTTGCTTATTGAAATGTTTCTCAATCAAGTCTTAATTAGCTTTATTTTTCATGAGGATATGCATTGTGGCCTCAGATTGCTTCCATTTATTGATAGTCTATTATATTCTTCACAAACCTGAAAAAACCCGACTAAGTATAAAGTGCAATTCAAAATAGTTCTTATACATGAAAACTAAATAAATAAATACAAATAAAAACTATCTAAAAGCTAGGCAAATTAAAAAAAAAAAATTAAAAAAAAAATTAAAAATTGCACTTTATTATACTTCCATAATTATTTACATAATATTGACTTCGATGCCTCGTCGTTACAAATTCAATACTGAGCGATGATCATAACAAAACTACATCATCCGAGCCTTTTCTGGGGACATCGTTTTAATCATTTTGTTTGTTTATTTTAGAAAAACCATGACATAACTTTGAGGAAGAAAAAAAAAACCGTCTTTCAGCCGCATTCCAATTTTACGGTTCAACCAGCCAAACCAGACCGAGCAATGCAACAAATCGGGGTCTAACTGGTTCAATCGGCCGGTCCAGTACAAGATGCCAGAAATTATAAGAGAAAGTACAAATTGCACTTCACCCCCTATAAATTTCCTATTATGGCACTTTCCCCTAAAAATTCAGAAAAGAGATAACTCCCCTCGAAATATTGATTTGGTTGCAGTTTGCCCCAAATGTCAATTTTGTGTGGCGTTGTGCAATAAAAATAACATTTTAAAGGGACAATCTGTAGAAAATTAGTGTTTTTAAGGGGCAACGTGCAACAAAAATAACATTTAAAGGGGTAACGTGCAAAAGAAAAAACTCAATTCCAGTTAATAATCCATTGAAATTTTGCTATCAGGACAATGTGCAACAAGTATAACATTTTGAAGGGAGGCGGTCACTTTTTTCTTTAATTTTGAGGGGTAAAGTGCAAAAAAAAATTATAGGGGGTGACATGCAATTTGCCCTAAAAGAAATAACAATTATAATAGGGTTGCTCTATCTAGAATTTCTCTCATTAAGGTTTGAGATCGTCCCACTAGGAAATGAAACTATCACAAAATATAACAAATACACAATCAGGTTTGATTTGCCATTTTTCTGGTTATTGCATAGCTACCCCCGGCATGGGGTGTTTTCTGCAATTTTCGAAACTGCTGCAGGGAGTCAGCTGCTTGGGAGTGGAAACTCTGCTTATTTGCACTAACCCCCATCTGGGGTTCGTTCATCCAGCAACTTTAGAAATTCTAAAGTAAACATTAACGGATAATTAACGGGAATATACATTTCCGTTAACGGATAATTGACTGAAACTCTGCTTAAAGAACTATACACTAAAAGTTATTAAAAAATATAAAGTAAATATAAACATTTAGTAGAAATTAACTTTTGTTTATTTTTTTTGTGTGGAGAGGGTTTGCTGTATTTTTTAGGGGTAGTTTAGTCATTTCATTTCAGTCAACGGGCTTTTTTTTAAATAACCTACATCATAAGGGGTATATGATATTTTTTTTTACACTGGTGCTTTTCCAGTAATTAGACATTTTACAGTGGGTGTATACAATTACGTTTTGGCCAAGAATAAAAATAAAAACTGACATGTGCCCCAAATCAAAACTAGTTTAAACTATGGGACCTCATTGCAATTTGTGAAAACTTTGATTAAAATTTAGGGTTAAATACAAAAATACCCCCTGTACTATGAACTTTGTATCATGTACCCCGTACTACGTACACATAAATACAAAAACCCCAGTAATGTTATATTTTCTCCAAAATATGACGAAAATACCCATGTTAAAGCCTATATATAAGGGATTGCTTGAGCCATTTTCCACCATATTTTTTTAACATTTTCAGTCAATTTTGCTTAGAAAATTTTGGTATTTATATTTTTTTCTCCAAAACATCTAATTGCTTAGATTTTATTTATTTATTTTTTCTGAATAAAACATTTTATTTTTGTCATTTTCAGTTTCTTCATTTTTTTTCTTAAATGTCTTCCGATAGTTCAAACATCCTAAGATTACAAACAACTTTACGATCCTATGATTGTTGAGAATTTGAACTAGCGGGAGACATTTAAAAAAAAAATAAAGCAATTCAAATGACAAAAATAAAAGGTTTTTTTCGGGAAAAAAAAAAAATCTAAGCAATTAGATTTTTTGGGGAAAAAAATTAAAATACCAAAATTTCTCAAGTAAAATTAACTGAAAATGTAAAAAAAATATAGTGAAAAATGACTCAAACAAACTCTTATATTTATAGGGTTTAGCCGGGGTATTTTCGTCAAATTTTGAATAAAATGTAACAACAGGGATGATTTTGTATTTATGTATTGTACGGGGGTATATGATACAAAGTATATAGTAAAGGTGTTTTTTGTTTTTGTATTGAACCCTAAAATTTAAAGCCGTACATTCCCTTCTATCCTAGATTTGCCGTAGCCAAAACCAACACACACTGCAACCCCATCGCCGGCGAAGCACCTCCCATGCAAACTCACGCGCCGCCCTACAAAAACTCCGAAACCATGGCTGATAATACATCATATCTTTCACCGGAAATCATAGAAAATATCCTGTCGAGATTACCGGCTAAATCTCTTCTTCGATTCAAATCAGTTTCGAAATCATGGAACACCATGATCGCCGATCCTGTATTCGTCCAAAATCATATCCGACAATCCAAACATTCAAACTCCGACAACCTTTTTCTATATCAGGATGCAGCGTTTTGTTCTTGCACCATATTCAAATTGGGAGATCAAAAAATCCAAACTTCACAAGTAATAGAATCCCCCTACATCTCGTGGTATGAGCTAAGCTTTTGCGACGGCGTGATTCTCTTAACCGACGGCACATACCGGAGGTTCGTGTTGTGGAATCCATCCACTCGAACGTCGCGAAAGCTCTGGCACAAGTACCGCTGTCGCTACGCAGCTTTCGGGCTTTGTCGCGATCCCACCACCGACGATTTCAAGGTTGTTATTGTTGATAAAGACTACTACTCGGTTTATTCTTGCAGGAACAAATCGTGGATCGCATGCAGAAAGGAATACGAAATCGAACACACTGGTTTAAGCATGTGCGCCGGTTATAATATCGGGGGAGTCAGCGTCGATGGGGCTACCTATTGGGTTATGAGGTGCCGGAATTCCATACGGATAGTGTATTATGATCCGAGAGACAACAAGTTCGAGTTTTTGCAAAAGCCGGAAGACGACGTAGTCAACGACAACAGATGGTTTTACGTGGTTGAACTGAGGGGACGCTTGTGCTTGTACTACAACAGTATAGACGACGAGTCCACGATTCAGATTTGGACAAAGGAAAAGGGCATCGACGGTAAATCTTGGAACAAGTTGATGACGATTGAGAATGTGGAGATGTCGATTTGGGAGTTTCATCCGCTATGTTTCGTCGGAAATAAGATTGTGATTTGGGATAGAGATCTTCGTATATTACTCGTTTACGACCCTTGTAAGAAGAGGTTTGAAGATTTTGAAGAGGACACTGCGGAGATGTTCGGCTGTGTGTCGGTTTCGGTTCCGATTCCGTATGTAGATAGCATTTTCTTCCACACTGAGAATCCGAGACCCAAGATGAAGGGAAAGCTGAAGTGTTTACGATAAGTGGATACGTAATGTTTTGGTTCTAATTATTTACTTATCTTGTTATTCATGTTCGTTTTCGCTTGTTGATCGATCTATGTTGCTTAATCCGGTCGATCGTAACACGTGGATTAATATTAGCCTTTTTGAAGACTCGGGATATGTTTTGATTTTGAACTTTCCTAACAAGTGTTTATGAATTTTGTTTCTATTTATAGTACGGCGTTTTCCTTAGTCACATTGTATGCAATTAGCCCCGATAACGACTCTCCTTCCTTCGTATTTAATTTAAACATTACCATCGGAGAACAGTTAGGGTAGCGCGAGTATGAAGAGCAATTTTTTTTTAGCAAATTGCAAAAGTTGGTATGTTACCTTCACGTACCACTCGTTGTGAATACACAGATTTAACACGGGTTGTTTGCCTTGGAGTTCCTTATACGGATCCTTTTTTTTATCGTCACTATATAGAATTAATGGAGGCACGCTATTAGTGTAAAAAATAAGCATGTGATAATAGGGGGAAAATTACAGTTTATGTCCCTAAACTTTACCACTAAAACGATTTATGTCCCCAAACATTTCAATCCGCTATATATGTCCTTAAACTTGCCACTTTTGATCACTTTATGTTCTGCCGTTAACGTCGGCAGCTAACTTCGACGGAAATTGCACGCGTGGCTCACGTGACGTCCATGTGGCCGTTAAATGTCGAGCTGTTCAAAACCCAGTGCCTACTTGGCCGACAAAGAGTGATGTGGAGCGACACGTCATTCTCCTCCCCTATTTCTATTGTAAAATCCCTAATTCTCCATATGCCCCAATTAACCCGTAAATCGAAGCCCTAAAACCCCATTTCGAATCCTTCAATTGAGTTGAAATTCCAAAATAGCAGAATCGTCTTCCCAAGTTTTTGAATCTCCGAGTAGTTAAAGCGTCACAATTGCAAAACAATTTTCGATTTGGTAAGTTTCCTCTATTTATTTGAACAATTTTCGATTTTGGTAATTAGTGTACTTGTAGTGTTGATTTCACCTCAATGTTTTCGATGTAGCATAAAATATGAGTAAAGGATCTAATTATGGCTGTCGGAGCTCATCCTCAACGAGCTCTGATGCTCATTCAACATTTTACACAATCAATTGTAAATGTGGATTTCGTTTGCCAGTGATTACGTCATGGACGCCAGACAATCCAGGGAGAAGATACCAAGCTTGCCCAAATTATGGGGTAAAATGCTTTCCTTTTATTTGTTCATTACATTATATTGGATTTGTTATTTCAAGCTTGAACAAATTATGGGGTTAAATGCGTTCTTTTGATTGAAGTTTTGGGATTCGTTACAGAAATCAACCTATTGTGGTGTATTCAAGTGGTTGGATCCTGAAATATGTGGTAGATCCAAGATGATTATCCCCGGACTGCTTAGGAGAGTGAACAAACTAGAGGCTGAATTAGCTTGCTTCAAAGAGAAAGAAGAAATATTGAACCAAGTTGAAGGTGAAGTGGCTTGTTACAAAGAGAAAGAAGAAAAATTGAACAAGCTAGAAGGTGAACTTGCAAAAGAAAGAAGGATTATTCAGAAAAGAGCCAAGAAACTGGAGGGTTTGATTGCAATGTACAATAAGAGGATGAAGTTGCAAGTTGGAGTCTTTATGGTCATACTTCTGTTCATTGCCATATATGTCATGAAAATTGGCATAGAAAGGGGGTATATGTAATGTTTTGTTTGAATGTGGATGTTGTTTCTAATGTTTTGTTTATGGTTAATTATCAGCTGTTAGGAATTGGAATTCTTGTAATGGTGGATTTGGTAATTTGGTTGTAGTTCTTGAATTTTGGTGAATTTGGTGAATTTGGTAGTAGTAATTGACTGATCGATTTTCAGTTGTTAGAAGTTCTTGTAATGGTGAATTTGGTAATTTAGTAATAATTCTTGAGTTTGGTGAATTTGGTAGTGATTCTTGTATTGGTCATTTGATGATTCTTGTACCTTGTATGTATTGATCAATTATAGAACTTATATATACATAATTAAACTTTCAAACATTCAATAACTTAAAAGAGCCATCAAACATCTCATACATAATTAAGCTTTCAAACATTCAATAACTTAAAAGAGTCATCAAACATCTCATACAAACCAACTGTGTTCAAATTCAAACAAATCAAACATCTCAAACAAACCAACAAACCATCAAACTGTGTTCAAATCCAAACAAATCAACAAACCATCAAACTGTGTTCAAATCCAAACAAATCAACAAACCATCAAACTGTGTTCAAATCCTAACAAACCATCAAACATTAAACAACCAAATATTCAACATTCAAACATCAAACAAACAAAATAACAAAAGTACAATCTTGTTCAAACTTGATCACTTCTTCATCTTAGAGGCTGACTTGGAAGCAACTACTGACTTGGAAGATGCCTTGAAAGCAACTACTGACTTGGAAGATGCCTTGGAATTTGTGATGGATGCAGAGGCTGACTTAGAAGAACTTGCACCAATTTCAGAGCCTGAGTTTCCCTTCAGTTGATTGGTCACTGATGATGCTAAATTGGATAGTGTTATGAAATTAACACCTCCTTTTACAATCATTGGAGCCTGGATTGTTGGAGAAGATTGACTTGGCTGTAATTAATAAAAAAAATATAAATTAATATAAATATTTATTATAAAAACATAATTAAGAAAATATTAATTTAAATACCTTAAAGGATCCAGGTCTTCTAAACTGCAATTTTGAACAAATAACTTGCATAATTGAAATTTTATATATTATATAAATTGAGATATTGAAATTAAAAAAAATAATACAATTATAAACCTGTAATTTTTCTTTATCTTTTGCAGTCTGAATTGGTGGTTGTGGTACTTGTGGAGTTGAAACTGAAGCTTGAGTTGAAGCTTCAACTTCATTCCTTTGGTCTCCTTGCTCAGCACTCATACCATCACCCTTGCTCCCTTCTTGAACCTGTGAAAACTTCCTCTTTTTGCATGTTTTAGAGTTGTGGTTTGTGCCTCCACATGTTCTGCACTTGTTTGATCTTTTAACTCCAACCAGCCTATGAGGATTTTTTGCAACAGGTGGCTCATCTGCTTCTCTCCTCCTAATTCTTTGAGGCCTACCTACTTTGTCTGTGTAATTGGGTGGTAATGGAGGCTCTATTGTACTGGCAGGCCACAATTCAGGTCCATTTAAAGGAAAGATAGGAGTTTCATAGCATTTCAGATAGGTCTCCACTTTGTAACAATTGTGCACATAAGATTCTGGATCTTCATTTCTGCACCAGATAGCAGAACATGCATGTTTACAAGGGATTCCAGTGAGATCCCATTTCCTGCAGCTGCACCTCCTCTCTCTAACATCAACACTGTGCTGAGTTGAAGGTCCCATAATTTGGAAATTCCACTCATCAGACCTTATTGGAATGCACTCTCCAGCTTCTTTCATTGTCTTCATCAACACTTGCTTAATCTTAGGACAGAGAGGACCATCCCACTTAAGTGCTTTTTCTCTATTTATCTGAATTCTTGTCATCAAGAGGTTTCTAATAGATTCAAGCAAAGAGATAATTGGTTTTTCTCTTGCATCCAGTATGAAGCTATTGAAACACTCACACATATTATTCAACAAAATATCACACTTGGGATAGGTATTGAAATGAGACCTAGACCAGTTTTGTGGAGGTTTTTTGGCTAGCCAAATATAGGCATTTTCATCTATCTCCTTCAACTCTTGCATTCTCCTCTGAAATTCCTCAACTCTAGTTGCCCTTGCTGCAGCCCATAAGGCTGATTTAATGGCCAATCCAGTGAAACCATCCCTTTTCATGTTACTGTGAAGATGCCTAACACAGTACCTATTTTCAGCAGTTGGGAACAAGGTTTCAAAGGCTGGAATCAAGCCCTTTTGCTTGTCAGACATGAATGTCCATGTGTGTTCATTTTCACTAAAGTTGAGATCAACATTCAGCATATTCAAAAACCACATCCAACTCTCTTTTGTCTCACTCTCAACTATTGCATATGCAATTGGATAGATGTTATTGTTTGGATCTAATCCAACTGCACTAAGCAACTGACCCCATGATTACCCTTTAACCAACATCCATCTACCCCAACCACTGGCCTGCAACCATTCCTAAACCCAATTTTACATGCATTAAAACACATATAAAATCTTTTAAACATGTTTTCATCATTCAACTGCATTCTCACAGTAGAGCCAGGGTTACTCCTATCTAACTCTTGACAATAATCCCTTATTTTGCTAAACTGTTCCTCTAAAGTACCCTGAATCAGATTCAGAGCCTTTTGCTTTGCCCTATAGGCCTGTGATCTAGATACATTGGCCTTTAAGGTGGTACAAACTTCATTTCTAAATTCACTTGTGCCCAATTTTGGATTTTCTTTCAATTTTTTCACAAAAGTCTTCCCAATCCACCCTGATTTAATGCTTGTGTTGTTATAATTCCAAGAGCATTTGTTATGATTTGGATTATAGCTCTTAATTTGCCAAGCACCATCCCCCTGCATCTTTCCCACATAGCAAAACCACTCACACCCATCTTTTTTACAAACTGCCCTCAACCTAATCTTGTCAACCTTCTGAAATTTTATCATCATACCTCTCCTAAAGCAATGACTCTCAATGGCAAACTTAGCCTCATCCCTGCTACTGAAAATTAATCCTAGTTTCAGTTCTGGATTTTTTTTTTCAGTTCTAGGATTGAACTTAGGGTATTTCACCCCAAGACTTTCTTCATCACTACCACCACTGACAAAGTCATCATCACTAGCAACAAGATTTTCCTCCCCTTCTTCATTATATAGCTTATCAAACATCCCACCACTTATGAATTCACTACCCTCATCTATCTTACCCTTGCCCTTGTCTAAACCACCAAATTCATCTTCAGGATCAACATAAGCTTCAAATAGCTTATCATCATCCTCCATATCATACTCTGACTCATAAAAAATGTCATCATCTTCACTGTCATCACCCTCATCACTTAACTCTACCCCAGTTTCATCTATCCCAATTTCATCATTTATGACAGATTCAGTACCCCCCTCTGAGTTATTAACCTTTTCAATGAACATCTGAACTTCAAAGTTTGAAGGAATACAGTCAGCTATGCTAAGAACATCAGCATCAGTTTCAATTGGCCTAAAATAATTCTCATGTTTTAGCCAAAATTTGAAACTTCCCTTCTCAGTGTACCCTAAAGCATTTGCAAAATCCCACATATCTAATATACCAAATTGGTCAATATCCAAAAAATCAAAGCATTCTACCTGCCCTCCTATATATGTTCTAGTTGGTTCATGCCTCATTGTTCCACCATAAAAAAATTTCATGCTAAAACATGTAGGTTCACCCATTTCAACTACGGTGTTTGAGGAAGCAAAAACAAAAAAAACAAAAAAAAAACAAAAATTAGAAAAATCAAAAATCACATTTTCACATAATTTAACAACATAGCTACAAAGTTAAGGATACTTACTGTAGTTTGGAGTCCACTGAATGCCGGATTCGCTCCTTCTTGACATTTTCTTCTCCAAAAATCTCCCAAAGCAGCGTAGCTTCTGAGAAGGAAACAACTCTTCAAATGTGAAAATGTTTGGATTTTTATGGGTTTGTGACTCCGATTTTAGTCTGGGTTAGAGCAAGAATGCATATTGGATTGAAAATTTGGGAATGAGTTGAGCTGATTGAAATTGTGAAGTGTGGGAAAATTAGGGTTTATGAGTGAAACGTGATTTGGATTTGGGATTTGGGAGAATGAGTTAGAGGAAATTACTATATTGTGCCACGTCAATATTTAATTTTCAATATATTATTCCACGTCACATTTAACGGCCACATAGACGTCACGTGAGCCACGCGTGCAATTTCCGTCGAAGTTAGCTGCCGACGTTAACGGCAGAACATAAAGTGATCAAAAGTGGCAAGTTTAAGGACATATATAGCGGATTGAAATGTTTGGGGACATAAATCGTTTTAGTGGTAAAGTTTAGGGACATAAACTGTAATTTTCCCTGATAATAGGTGTTATTAATTAATGGTTGCGGCTATATGCAAGACTAATTCCACTTGTGCAACACCAAATTAAAATTTTCAATGTATAAATACAATAATACCCTTATTTATTAAAAAAAATTAAAAATGCCAAATATGCAAGACCAAAAATTCAAAAACACAAAAAACCCTATCACAAGAGCACAAAACCACGAGACCAACTATCATCTTCTCCATCTTCCAAAACTCACAAGACCTTTCTCCTTCCTCCTCCATTAACCCACAAAACCTAGAAATTCAAAATAATCAAAACTCAACAAATCTTACAAAGATGGCAAGTATGGAGTCAGAAGACATCAAAATAGAAGATTCTACGATGGAAGAACCCAAGAATGTATGCATTTATGGGTTTTTTTAGCTAGAATATCGATTTTCAAAAAAAAATCCCGCGCAAACGAATTCGACATGTACAGGTCGAATTTTACAGGTAAAAATCGACATTTAGATGTCGAATTTGAGGTATAAAAGTCGACATTTAGATGTCGATTTTTAGGTATAAAATTCGACATTTGAATTTGTGCTACAAATTCGACATGTCAATGTCGATTTTTACCTATGAAATTCGACGCTTAGGTGTCGATTTTTAGCATAGTTTTTCGACACCTTGGTGTCGATTTTTGTTTTTTTCTCATTATTTGTATTTGGTCTTACATGAGAAAAGAAAGCCAATTTAATTTATGGGCATACTTGTCATTCCATCTTAATAAAATAGAATCATTTGGAATCTTTCTTTAATTTGGTATTGCACAAGTGGAATGAATATTGCATATAGCCGCAGCCTTAGTTAATTAATTAATAAGCATTGCATAGTCTTAGGAACATATACATAATTAAGTGTAAAAGATATTTTAATTTCCCTGTGGAGTCTCTTCGTATGCACGCGTTTTTGCTTCGTTTAATGTTTTGGTCATAATTAGGGTTTATTTTGCTTATTATTTCTAATGTATAGGCACCACTTCTTGTTTGAGATCTATCAATTACTTGCGAATTATATGAGCTTCTCCTCGAGTAATATTTTACCTGTGTAAAGTTGTTATCGAGTCCTTCTGACGGGTTCTCTTCGGTTCAAATATAAATAAACGAAAAAAGGCTCCATTTATTGGAAGAGTAACCGACTAATTAACAATTTATACGAAGAATGAAGAAAAATATTTGGGGAATTTGTTACTAAAACGAACTTCTAATTCATCAAAAAATGCATAAATGGCCGCCTAAAAGAGTTTCCGATATGTTCGTAAGTTTTGCTCCCAAAACACCGATATATTAAGAAGCTGTTTAACTGTCCTTGCTACATAATCATTCCGGCAGTATATCCGATGTTTAACTGTCCTTGCTACATAATCATTCCGGCAGTATATCGATCGATCTTCTATATATTGCCTTAGAGCCCGTTTGGCTAAGCTTATTTAAAACATCTTATAAGTTCCTACATCTGATAAGATGTTTTAGGAGCTGATAAGCTGTTAGATCTTATTTTAAAAATTATTTTTTAAGGTGTTTGGATATATAGCTTATAAGTTACTTTTTGGTTTTATAAGTTGTTCAGGTGTTTGGAAATAAAAGGTCTGTTTATTGCTATAATGACAAAAAAGTACATGACGCCAATATAATTGTTAAACTTATTTGACTCAAATACTTTTGTTCCTAAAATATTATTATAATATTTACAAATTAATTTTTCAAATAATAATAATAATATAAAATAAAAGTTGTAAAAGAAATATAAATTTTTTTTATAGATGAAAGAAATATAATTTATTATGGAGATAATAAGAATATTCGTGTATTTTTATATACATATAAAATATAAATAGAGAATAATTTTTTTTACAATTATTATGATAATTACGATAATTATATTTAACTAATTATTAATCTTGATTACAAGAATACGTTGTTTTGATAAAATATAAATATTATTAGTATTCATGTAATATAATAAAGTATTTGAGGGTAATTTTGTATTTTAAGTGTTTTAGTAAAGAAGCAAATAAGATCTTAAAGAAAAAAGGTGGGGTAGAGGTACTTTTTAAAAAACATCTTATAAGCTCCCTAACAGCTTATTTTTGGAAAAAATAAGATCTTTTGCAATTTTTTTACCAAACACCTTTTAACAACTTATAAGCTCCTAAACATCTTATAAGATGCTTTTAGGAGCTTATAAGCTTAGCCAAACAGGCTCTTAAACTATTTCGATTCACCTATAGCCCCGTTTACTTTTTTTTTCGTGGACTATACCAACTATAAAAAAACCAAAATAAAAAATGAGATAAGTCGAAGATATATGAAAATGCGATTTTATAATATCACTATTTATAAGCAATTTTAAAACTGCAGTAATTCTTCAAGAACAAGAAAATCAAGTAACATGTTTAATATTTGCAGAAATCATTTCTAAGCTACTAAAAATAAAAAGAAAAAAAAAGAAAAAAAAGAAAAAAAGAAAAAAAGGAAAGATTCTTCAATTCACCAGCCTAGTCCTCATCATCTAATAACAGCAATCCCCAGAGTCTCGTTTTTCTTCAAATTCCGATCGGCGGGCTTTCTAAAATACTTAACGACGTAAATCGTATTCCTTTCATCATCGTCAACACGATCAGGCTCGTAAAATGTAACCACGTCTCCAGCTTTCAAGTTATGAGCCCTAACGAACATTCCCCATCCTCCACCAATCTGGTAGTGTACGCTCCCCCCACTTCTGACCTTCGATAACACCATTGCGTATCTCCGATTGATTCCGTCGAACACAATCATGGTCTTCGAGTACGATTCCGGATCCTGGTTTTTAATATTCGGATCGCCGGATATTATTAACGCATTGATACGGACTAAATTGTCCTCAGGGGGTTTCCTAATCATTTATTGGGCCATGGATTGAATCTTCACTGGGATTTGGCCCAAAATCATATCAGGCCCAAGAAGAAGAGTTAGGGCAAGTTTGCTTATTTCTTGCTCATCAAGTATCCTCACCTATAAAGAGGGAGTTATTCTCAACTCATTACTTCTATGCTCTCTCTTACATATCACACTCGATTATCTCTCTATAAACTGACTTGATCGTCGGAGCTTCTACGCCGGGAAACCCCTCCCGGTGTTGCAGGTACCCCTCCGGCGGAATTTCCGGCAAGCTATCATCACAATATCGTCCAAGGAAGACAGGTCATCATCTCAACAATTTTGGAGCAAATCAAGTGGCGCCGTCTGTGGGAAACAGATCTCGAGCTAGGACGTGAGATGATTTGATTTTGGAGGTTGGAGAATATGAGCTGCCTCTGATAGCAGATCTAAAGGGAAGATCGAAGAAGAACGGTTCAGAATATTTATTGGGGAGTTTTTTTTAATGGGAAATCAAGAAAGAGGCTCAACAAATCTGGTGTTCGGTATCTAGATCGATGAAGTCAAAGAGGTGGAGAATCTGAAAATAAATCTTTCCTTAATGGTTGAACTCGACCAAAAGAAATATAAAAAATAAATAAAATAGATTCTCGAGGTAAAAAACATGAAACGAGTTCAAATCCTAAGTCAAGAGCTTGACGAATCAGGTTAGGAAGAGAAAGGAGAGAAGCAGCAGTCAATCCCCGTCTCAGTGCTCGTCGGTCCATGACCACCGAGCGAAGTCTCGCCGACCTCGTCTGAACGAAATCGAATCTCGCAAAATCGGGATTTGCTGAGCCATCTCTCGCCTACCGAACGTCGGCCAAGCTGAATCTCGCGGGCTCATCACCTCGACATCCGATTCTCTTCTCTTCGCCGAAGCCCAGAGCCGCCAATTGAGCAATAGCTCGGTCAGTTGTTTTCTTTCGTACTGGCCGCTCCAAATCTGACCGTCTAAGTCTGTCAACCATTACCAATCGAAAGAAAGGGGATGTTAATTTTGAATCAGATCTGAAATCAATTTAAACGGCCCGAGTTGATGCAGTTCGTGGAGGAGTTCTACCGAGCTTACCGTGCACTAGCAGAAAAGTACAACCACACCACGGGTGAACTTCGCCAAGCCCATCGAACCATATCGGAGGCATTTCCCGAAGAAGTACCTTTCGAACTCGGGTTGAAAAAACGGGGTTTGAAACAATTGCACGAAATGCTTCAATGTTCAAATTTTTCCGACAAAGGGAAAAACGGGAGTAATGAAGTTCAAGGGCTAAAGAAAGCCCTTTTGGATATCGAAGATGAAAAGGAAGATGTGCTACTCCAGTACCAACAATGTCTTGTAAAGCTTTGTAAAATCGAGGGAGAGATAAATGAGGCACAAGAAAAATCGTGAAGAGCTGAAATCGAAGCCCAAGCTTTGAAGGAAGCTCTCATTCAATTAGAGGCTGAAAAGAATGCTGGACTGGTCCCACAGAAAGAGTATTTGGAGAGGATATCTGATCTCGAGGCTATGGTTTCGAAATCCCAAGAAGATACGAAGGGGCTCGACGAAAAAGCGTTCGAAGCAGAAAGCGAATCTCGAACCCTAAAAGATAAAATATCGAGATTAGAGCTCGAAAAGGAGACGGTGATGCAATAGTACAAACAGTGCCTCGAAAAAATATCAGAGTTGGAGAACAAAATCTCTATAATCGAAAATGAGGCCAGCCTCCTTAAGAAACGAGCCGAGAGAGCTGAAGCTGAAGTTTCTGAACTAAAAAGGGCGTTTGCTCATCTGAACAAGGAAAAAGAAGCTTCGGCCCTACAGTACAAGTGCTGCCTGGAAATTATATCCAAGCTCGAAAAAGATATATCAAGCTTGAATGATAAAGTCTCAATTGGAAATGAGAAGCTCAAGACTACCGAAGAGAAGTGTGCTCTGTTCGAGAAGTCGAATCAATCACTGCGAGTCGAAGCGGATAATCTTGCGAAAAAGATTGCTGCGAAAGATCAAGAACTCTCAAAAAAGCAGGGCGAATTAGAGAGTCTTGAAGTGCGTTTTAAAGGACGAGCATTTCCGCCACGAAGAAGTCGAAGCCACTCTCGAGACTCTGCAAAATTCGCACTCTAAATCTCGAGATGATCAAATGGCTCTGACGCTTGAGCTCAAAAATGTAGTTCAAGAGTTGAGAGAAACTGAAGCTAGCAAAAATTGTTTGGAAGAAGAGATTCGGCAGGTTAGAGATGAAAACGATAGTTTGAGCCAAACGAACTCTTCTATGAAGAGTATGCAGAATGAAATCTTTAGTTTGAGGGAGAATAAGGAAAGGCTCGAAAAGGAAGTTTCGCACCACATTGGGATAACTATTTTTCTTCAAAGGGAAATTTCGAATTTGAAAGAAGAAATCGAAGGGTTGAATAGGCACTATCGGGATTTAGTGGAGCAAGTGGAAGAAGCAGGTCTCGACCCCATGTGTGTGTTGATTTCGATTAAGTGCTTGCACGAGGAGAATTCGAAACTGAGGCAACTATGCGAAAAAGGCAGAAACGAGAAAGCAATCATGTCGAAGAAGCTAGAAAATATTGAAGACGCATTGTTGGAATCGGGCCAATTTATTTACGGAGAAAAAACTGCTCTAGTTGCTGAGAAAGCTTCTATTTTGTCTCAATTACAAGCCATGACCGAGAATATGCAGAGTTTAGTGGGAAGAAACGCCGTTTTGGAGAATTCACTATCCACCGCCGAAATCGAGCTCGAAGGTTCGAGGGAAAAATCGAAAGGGTTAGAGGAGATTTGCAAATTACTCAAGAACGAAAGATCGCGTCTTTTGACCGAAAGGGGCAGTTTAGTTTCGAAGCTGGAAAACGCGGAGAGAAGGTTGCACATTTTGGAGAAAAAAAATTATGGGGTTGGAAGAAAAATACACTGATTTAGAGAAAGAGAAAGAAGCCATGCATGATCAAGTCGAAAAGTTCAAGGTATCGTGGGATGAGGAAAATCAAGAACGGACAAGCTCTCAGATTTTGAGCGAAACCCAATTGGCCGGGCTCGAAAATCAAAACGATCTCCTTAAAGAAGAGAACACGTGTAAGAAAAAGGAAACAGAGCAAGAACTCGATAAAGCTTTGAAAGCGCAGTTCGAAATATCCGTCTTGCATAAATTTATAAAAGGTATGGAAGAGAAGAACTACTCGCTCATTATTGAGTGTCAAAAACACGTCGAGGCATCGAAATTGGCGGAGAAATTGATATCCGAACTGGAGGGTGAAAGTCTTGAGCAGCAAGTTGAATCTGAGTTCCTATTGGATGAAATCGAGACACAAAAAATACACTTAGAGCAAGAGTCGAAACTCATGGCTGAGAAGCTTAGGGCTGTCGAACACGGAAAAAATGAATTTGTGGAAATAAATGGGAAATTGAAGTCGGACGCGAGTGAAGGTCGTAAAGAAGCTGCTGTACTCGAGGCTGAATTCGGGAGTCTTTGTGTCAAACAAGCTGATTTGCAGAAGGCGTATAATGCATTACAAGCAGTTTACTCGAAAGTGAATCAAGAAAATACGTATTTGTGGAAGAAGTTTTCGGGTCTGAAAGATGAGAAATACGAGTTAGATCGGTATAAAGATGATGCAATTCTTGATTTTTTATCATCTGCTAATGTATCTGAAGTCTTGAGGAGTCTCGGGAGAGAGAAAATCGAAGAAGTGAAATTACTTCTCGCAGATCTGAGCCGACAAAATAAGGTCAATGTTAGCCTCGAAAAGGTAATGAGTGTGTTGATAGGGAAGCTTGAGTTGCAAAAGGCGGAAAATTTAGCCCTGAAAGATGCCGTTTTTAGCTTGGAAATCGAGAGGGATGTGGTCAGAGAATACAATGTTCGAATGAACCAGGATGTAATAAATGGTAAAGAGAGTTTGCTTCAAACACAAGCAGAGCTCTTCGATGCAGAAACGAAGCTCGAAGCTGCGGAAAAATCGAACTTAGCTCTGTGCACAACAATGGCCGAAATGAAGAAGGAAAACGAGAGCCTTAACTTAGCGAACAAGAATTTGGAGTCGGAAATTTGCTTACTTCGTCAAAAAAAAGAAGAAAATAAAACTAGAGAGCAGAATTTGAGCAACGAATTCGAGCTATGGGAAGTTGAAGCATCGACGTTTTGCTTTGATCTTCAGGCTTCGATCCTACCCCTGAGCTCGATATTGGTTAATAGATATCCATGGATTATTAATTCAACGGCTCGTATTTCCTCTCATATACCCCGGAAGATCCCTCAAAGCACAAAACTTATTTCCATAATTTAGCGGGCTGGGTTTTCTTGAAAGTTCGGAGTTCTCGAATGAACCCGAAGCTGGGTGAAACCTTGAAACTCACACTCACAATTCACACCTCAAATTCATTTCTGGTAATTAGACTTTTTGCCACTCACATTTATTACGAGAGGAGATTATGTGAGAAGAGAAGATACAAGCCATATTTTTATGTGAGGTTTCCACCTCGGCAAGAGGTCGCTACGAGTCGAGGCGATCAAGTGTTAACACCACTAGGTTTATCGAAGCTCATATATTTATCTTAAAATGGGGCTCTCTCGTTAACTCGCATCCTCTACCTAAAGCTCGAAGTTATCCCCCGGCGAGATTGTTGAATACTTGCCTTATCCCGGAAGCTCTCGTTCACATTGCTCACACTTCTATGCCAATTATCCCACAACTCCGAGTCGGATTTCGCCGGCTCGAACATTGTCATCTCGGTACTCTCTAACCGAATCTCGCCGACCCAACGCCCGTCGAGGACTTTTCGAGACTTGTAGTTCTCTCATATCTAACATTGGTCCTATGAAGCTCGCATCTCCACCTCGAATACGAATCTATGAAAGCTCGAACTCCTCTTAATATCCTTGCGAAGTAAGTTCTCTTTTAAAAGATGTGCCTATACCTCCATGGCAATAACTCTTTTCATGAAACTTGAAATTATCCATCACCTGGATAGAATATATTAATACAATACTAACTAATGGATTGGTGGAACAACGAGGCGTTAAATCGCGTGTTTCACCGAGGCGTTAAATCGCGTGTTTTACCGAGGCGTTAAATCGCATGTTTCACCGAGGCGTTAAATCGCGTGTTTCACCGAGGCGTTAAATCGCGTGTTTCACCGAGGCGTTAAATCGCGTGTTTTACCGAGGCGTTAAATCGCGTGTTTTACCGAGGCGTTAAATCGCGTGTTTTACCGAGGCGTTAAATCGCGTGTTTCACCGAGGCGTTAAATCGCGTGTTTTACCGAGGCGTTAAATCGCGTGTTTCACCGAGGCGTTAAATCGCGTGTTTTACCGAGGCGTTAAATCGCGTGTTTTACCGAGGCGTTAAATCGCGTGTTTTACCGAGGCGTTAAATCGCGTGTTTCACCGAGGCGTTAAATCGCGTGTTTTACCGAGGCGTTAAATTGCGTGTTTTACCGAGGCGTTAAATCGCGTGTTTTACCGAGGCGTTAAATCGCGTGTTTTACCGAGGCGTTAAATCGCGTGTTTCACCGAGGCGTTAAATCGCGTGTTTCACCGAGGCGTTAAATCGCGTGTTTCACCGAGGCGTTAAATCGCGTGTTTCACCGAGGCGTTAAATCGCGTGTTTTACCAGGGCATTAAATCGCATAGACGTTAGCTCGCGTACCAAAATGAGGCGTTAAATCGCGCAAAAACGAGGCGTCAAATCGCGAAAAAATGAGGCGTTAAATCGCGCAAAATGAGTCGTTAAATCGAGCCAATGAGTAATTAATCGTGCAAAAGTGAAGCGTGGTAAGTGCAAAAAATGAAGCGTTAAATCGCGCGAAAATGAGGCGTTAAATCGAAACGAAATGGGGCGAGGTAAGTGAAAAAACGAAGCGCTAAATCGCTAGAGACATTCAAGCCAATGCGGCGAGATAAGCGCACGACTCATACAACCAGAGAAAAAACGATGTAAGGCGAAAAGACAACATGTGAATAATACTCCTAGTCTAATCACGATTTCTAGACTTCGGAGTAGGGGGGAGTAGTTGATACGGACTAAATTGTCCTCAGGGGGTTTCCTAATCATTTATTGGGCCATGGATTGAATCTTCACTGGGATTTGGCTCAAAATCATATCAGGCCCAAGAAAGAAGAGTTAGGGCAAGTTTGCTTATTTCTTGCTCATCAAGTATCCTCACCTATAAAGAGGGAGTTATTCTCAACTCATTACTTCTATGCTCTCTCTTACATATCACACTCGATTATCTCTCTATAAACACTGACTTGATCGTCGGAGCTTCTATGCTACGGGCTTTTTCACGATCGAACCGTTGGCGATTTCAAGGTAGTTGTTATATGTAGGGACCACTGCGCGGTTTATTCGTGCAAGGACAAAGCGTGGACGAGGAAGCGACGAATTCAAGATATTGGCCTAGTATTGATTGGTTCCGGAGTTTGTGTCGACGGGGTTGTCTATTGGGTTAATCGTTGGAGTAGCGACGGAACACATATTTTATATTTCGATACAAAAGATGACGACGAGTTGAAGGTTTTGCGGAAACCGGAAAATGTTAACTTAACGGGCAAAATGATCGACTTGATTTGCTTGAGAGACAACTTGTGCATGTGTTGCATTGGTAGAGGCGTGACGAATGTTCAAATCTGGATAAAGGAAAAGGGCTCTGGCAATAGTACTTGGAAGGAGTTGATGACTATTGAGAATGTGCAGACGCGGGCTTCTTGTTTCGAGCCACTACTGCATTTTGTCGGGAATAAGATTTTAATTGTATGGAAAGATTCAAAGTTAGTCGTCTACAACCCTTCTGAGAAGACGTTTGAAGAAGTTGACGATAGTGTGCTTTCCGGACGCGGATTTTTTCCGTTTACGGAGAGTCTTTTCTTCCCCAATCAAAATAATTAAAGTTTTTTTTTCTTTTTTTCTTTTATTTTCGAAAATTAGTTTGTAGTGGATTTAAGGGTCAATTTGTGTTTCTGAATCGAAAGTGGATTTATGAATGTGAACACTGAACACAAACCAGAGCAACCAAACTGACCCGTGCCCAAATTAAAACTAATATCAAATATAGGACCTAATTGCAATATTTGAAAACTTCCATTAAAACAACCCTTAAATTAAACCTAAATCTGCCATGGCCAAAACCAAAATTCCAAAACCATGGCTGATAGTACATCATATCTTCCACCGGAAATCATAGAAAATATCCTGTTGAGGTTACCGGCTAATCTCTTCTTCGATTCAAAGCAGTTTCAAAATCATGGAATACCGTTATCGCCGATCCTGTATTCGTCCAAAATCATATCCGACAATCCAAACATTCAAACTCCGACAACCTTTTTATATGTTATGATCATATGATTTTTTCTTGCAGCACTTATCCTTTTCGAGTGATTAAATTGGGAGATAAAAAAATCCAAACTTTACAAGAAATAGAATCCCCGTATGAGTATGGCAGGTGGCATGCGTTATGCTTTTTAGATGGCGTCATACTCTTAACCGACGGCACATACGAGAGATTCGCGTTGTGGAATCCATCCACTCGAACGTCGGAAAAGCTTCGGCACAGGTATAGCTGTCCGTACGCAGCTTTCGGGCTTTGTCGCGATCCAGCCACCGACGATTTTAAGGTTGTTATTGCTGATTCAGACCACTACTCGGTTTATTCTTGTAAGAAAAAATCATGGATCATGTTGAAAAAAGAATACGAAATTAAATACACCTATTTAGGTGTAGACATCGGTTATAATAACAACGGAGTCTGTGTTGACGGGGCTAGCTATTGGGTTTTGAGTTCCGCGCAGATAGTGTACTTTGATCCGAGAGACGACAAGTTCGAGTTTCTGCAAAAGCCGGAAAACGTCGTCGACGACAATAGACGGTTTTACGTGATCGAAATGAGGGGACACTTGTGCATGTACTACAACGGTATAGACGACGAGTCAACGGTTCAGATTTGGACAAAGGAAAAGGGCATTGACGGTAATTCTTGGAACAAGTTGATGACGGTTGAGAATGTCGGGATGTCGATTTGGGAGTTTGAGCTGATATGTTTCGTCGGAAATAAGATTGTGATTCGAAATAGAGCTTTTGATATATTACTAGTTTACAACCCTTGTGAGAAGAGGTTTGAAGGATTTGAAGAGAACACTGCTGAGGTTTTAGGCTCTGCATCGGTTCCGATTCCGTATATAGATAGCATTTTCTTCCCCACTGAGGATCCGAGACCTAAGACGAAGAGGAAGCGGAAGTGTTTACAATAAGTTGATAAATAATGTTTTGGTTGTAATTTTTTTACTTGTTATTCATGATCGTTTTGCTTGTTGATCTATGTTGCTTAATCCGGTCGATCGTAACACGTGGATTAATAATAGCCTTTTAAAGATGTGGGATACGCCAATCTGGGAGTTTAAGCCACTTTGTTTCGTCGGAAATAAGATTATAGTTCGCCTTGGATCGACTCGAGTTCCTTATACGGATAGTCTCTTCGTTTAATGTTTTGGTCCTAATTACTTGACATTAGGGTTTATTTTGCTTATTATTTCTAATGTATAGACACCACTTCTTGTTTGAGATTTATCAATTACATGCGCATTATATGAGCTTCTCCTCGAGTAATTTTTTTCCTGTGTAAAGTTGTTATTTAGTCCTTCTGACCGCTGACGGGTTCTTTTCGGTTCAAATATAAATAAACTAAAAAGGGCTCCATTTATTGGAATAGAAACAAATTACACGAAGAATCAAGAAAATATTTGGGGAATTAATTTGTTACTATAACGAACTTCAAATTCATCAAAAAATGCATAAATGTCCGCCTAAAAGAGTTTCCAATATGATGTTCGTAAGTTTTGCACCCAAAACACGGAAATATTAAGAAGCTGTTTAACTGTCCTTGCTACATAATCATTCCGGCAGCATATCGATCGATCTTCTGAATATGCCTTACACTATTTCGATTCACCTAGCCCCGTTTACTTTTTTTTTTTTTTTTGCGGATTTCTCTTCTATCTCTTCTGTTACTTTTTTATTTAATTTTAAACTCACTCTGTAGATTTATTTGCTTGTGACTGAGAATCTTGAAATTCCTGATATACATGTAGTATATATATATCAACCTAGATTTTCTTGATATGTAAATCTCAGAATTCAACTAAAGAAAGGCCTTTCTGCCTCTACACACATTATGAACATAATAAAAAATGAGATAAGTCGAAGACATATGAAAATGCGATAACTTCGATATTCTAATTTCACTATATATAAGCAATTTTAAAACTGCAGTAATTCTTCAAGAACAAGAAAATCAATTAACATGTTTAATATTTGCAGCAATCATTTCTAAGCTACTAAAAATTTAAAATAACAAAAAAAAAAAAGAAAAAAAGGAAAGATTCTTCAATTCACCAACCAGCCTAGCCCTCATCGTCTAATAACAGCAATACTCGGAGTCTCGTTTTTCTTCATGTTCCGGTCGGCCGGCTTTCTAAAATACTTAACGACGTACATCGTATTCTTTTCGTCATCGTCATCACGATCGGGCTCGTAAAACGTAACCACGTCTCCAGCTTTCAAGTTATGAGCCCTAACGAACATTCCCCATCCTCCACCAATCTGGTAGTGTATGTTCCCCCCACTTCTGACCTTCGATAACACCATTGCATATCTCCGATTGATTCCGTCGAACACAATCATGGTCTTCGAGTACGATTCCGGATCCTGGTTTTTAATATTCGGATCGCCGGATATTATTAACGCATCAACATGATCGAGTTGCAGCGTGGCGTTTTCCTTTATCACGTCGTATGCAGTTAGCGTCTTCGATAGGCATTCTTCTTCCGTTCGGTAGTAACTGCACATAGTGATTGATTAAGTAACCCTTTTTTATTTTGTTCTAGGGTTTAAATGATAAAGAGGATGGAAGAGAGAGAGAGAGAGAGAGAGAGAGAGAGAGAGAGAGAGAGAGAGAGAGAGAGAGAGAGAGAGAAACCTGGCACCAGGGCCCGAAGGTTGCTCTAACGATGACAGTAGAATCTCGAAATCTTCATCGGAGTCGGAATCGGATCTATCGGGGGGTTCGCCGATCTTTGCTTTCCCTTTCTCTTTCCTCGATCGGCGTGGATAAGCAACACCATTACTTCTTTCAACCATTTTCTTGAAATTATTCTGATCTGTTCTTTGATTTTCTTCAAGAGTAGTGGTGATGTAATCTGATCGAGAAGAAACAGTTGGTTTATTTGAGTTTATAAACCGCCTTTCGGATTAATTGTGTACTTCTCTTTTGCGTTCTTTAACTATACACACACACACACATATATATATATATATATATATATATATATATATACACACACACACACTCAATCTACTTTTTTTTTTAATTAATTCAAAAAATTAAATAGTTGAAGCAGTGATTTGGCCAGGAAACGGCTCAATACATTTAAATTACGGTAAATTCCTTATTTTTGAGAAATTATATCAAGTCCCCTACAGTTTGTAAATTTCTAACATCTACCCCTACAAAAGGGTGTTAATGTAAGAAATCTATAAATTTCAGAGAGGTGGATGTAATTGTAAACCACAAATTTTCGAGTCTGCAAATTATAATAAAAATACAAGACAAGAAAATAGGGAACAAATAATTTGTTAATCAAAACGATGTGGATTACATCTCGAATTTAAATATGTTATGAATTCGAGGAATCGAATATATGATTTCCTATCACGAACATCTCGAATTCAAATATGTTATGAATTCGAATTCAAATATGTTATGAATTCGAGGCTCAAATATGTTATGAATTCGAGTCGGAGGCTCGAGACGTGAGCTTGAGAGCTCGATATGTGTCTTTGTGAGTCTGATTTTTAGATGCACCAAAGATCTTCTTTTATAGACACAATCTAGGGTTAGGGTTTCTCGACTTGTAGAGTGGGCCAGACATTTTAAAACCCAAATATATTATGGACTTTAATTTGAGACCTAAATTAATAACCGATTTATTTTGGTTATTAATTAGTAATTTATCTCAAAATTTCGATGTCTACAGTAATTCTGAAAAAAATGAGGGGTTCTTTCGGTAATAGACATCACCTTAGGGAGCGGTTACAATTTAGCCTTTAGAATTAAGACCGTTTATACAGTTTTTCAAATATTTAAGCGAAACAAGCACCTTGAGCCTGATTCGGACGCAACAACAACTAACTGCGTCTATGGCATACGCTCGTCTTTAAATAAACTCCTTATATAAGATTCAAAAACACGATTCTTTAAAATGTTTATAATAAACTCCGTTGAAGTCATCATTGTCAAGTACGACTAAGTACTAACGACTGAATTCTCTGCTAAACACGGTTTTTAAAGATAAGCAAAAATCGCAATAAATACATCAAAGCTAACATAATCCAAGAAGAACAGTACGTACAAACACCGGTTTACTAACAAATGAAAAACATCACTGCAAAATCAGTTAAATAAGATATCAAATAGATTAAAAACAAATTACGAGGAAGCAAGACCTAAGATCGAAGTCTATAAACTCATGGTTTACAATAAGTGGGTAAATAATGTTTTGGTTGTAATTTAAAAACTTGTTATTCATGTTTGTTTTGCAAATTGATCTATGTTGCTTAATTCAGTCGATCGTAACACGTGGATAAATAGCCTTTTGGAGACGCGGGATATTTTTTATTTTGATCGTTCCTATTGTAATAGCTAACAAGTGTTTGTTTATGCATTTTGTTTCTAAAGGCAGTGAGTGATCTTTTTTTTTTTTTTTTTGGTAATGCAGGAACCCGCAGCCAACCATATAGGTGTGTTAGAATCCGAGAGGATTCTATTTCGGTTTTTCATGACGTATACGAAAAACGTGTATAAAAACTAGGGAAGTTTCCTTAGTTCTTTAAACTCTTATTTTGTCATTAATTTATTTAATTACCTAAGTGTTTTATTAACAAGGAATTCCTTTGAATAAGACTTTCCTTGTTTGCATAACTCTTTTTCCTTACGTAAGATTATATCTAACCTAATGGGCTCTATTTCTTGTGTAGGGCTCTACTAATTCAACAAAAGGAAATATAAGAAGGCAGCATCAACGTCGTTATCAACTGTCCCTTTTATTTTGAGAGAAAACTATTTTCTGCTCTTACGTTGCTGCTCCAGAATTGCTGATCTTAAATCGAGAAGAAAATACAGAAAAAGGAGTTTGCTTCTTTCACCGAAAAGAAGATCGGTTCTTCGGGAGGAGAACTCAGAAGATCTCGGGAGGAGGTCGATCCGCCGACTGAGGGACTCAGCGTTGAAGGAATTTCAACCGTGCGGAAAGGGACGTGCTGCAAAGTGAAGATTCACAATTCAGCGTAGGATACAAGAACGGCGTCGACAAAGAGGGAGTCTTTGCATTTTCGATTAAGTCCTATTACTGTATTCGTAAAACTAAAAATTAGTGAATTTCATTTGCAGGTCCCCGTGGATGTAGGGTACAATTGTATCCGAACCACTTTAAAATTTGTGTCTTTTTATTACTGTTCCATTAACTGTTGCAACTCTTCGTAAAACAGTAGAACAGTAATTAATTTATAATTAATTTGCACGAAATAATTCTAACAATTGGCATCAAGAGCCTGTCACTAAATACATCTAGTGAGATTTTGGGAACTAACTATTCTTATTTTGTGCAGATATGAATACTCAACGAGAAGGATCGTCAACTACTCGCCCACCTCTCCTAATCGGATCAAACTACTCATATTGGAAATCAAAAATGAAGATGTTTATCAAATCCATAGATGAGAGAGCATGGCGCGCCATCATAACTGGTTGGACACCTCCCATGGTCAAAGGAGAAGACAAAATGGAAGTTTTCAAACCAGAAGCAGATTGGAGTGACGTAGAGATACTACTCGCAAACTACAACTCAAGGGCCCTAAACGCAATATTTAGTGGTGTTGATGATAATCAATTTAAACTAATAGCGTCATGTGAATCTGCTAAAAGAGCTTGGGAAATCCTTCAAGTCACATACGAAGGAACGTCAACTGTGAGGACGTCGAAGTTACAAATGCTGGCCACCAAGTTCGAAAATTTGAAGATGGAAGAGAATGAGACGATCACTGACTTCCATGCTAAATTATGTGATATCTCCAATGAATCATATGCACTCGGTGAACCTTACTCTGAAAGCAAATTGGTGAGAAAGGCGATGCGCTCATTACCTGAAAGATTTGCTTACCGAATTGCTGCCATTGAAGAAGTCCGAGATGTTGACACGCTCAAACTAGACGAACTCATGGGGAAACTTCTGGCACAAGAACTCAATCATGGTGAAAATCATCGTGAAAAGCCTAGAGAAAAGAAGATAGCCTTTCAAGCAGAAACTTCATATGCAACACCCCAA